ATTCGATCTACTCGCTCGTGAGATTTAGATAATAATAACTTTTTTTATAATTATATTTTGGTTTTTAAAAAGTAACTTGTCAATATTAGCACTTTGAAAAATTGGAAATGGGGAAACAAAATAAAAATAAAAAACCCATCATTCTCATGTACATCTTCGGAGTGAATTTTATTGTTTGACTCCTCATTTGAAAATAATATTTTACCTTAATTAATAAAAATAAGTTAAAATCAACTAAGGAATCAGACAGCTAAACATACCTAATTAAAAAAAAAATAGAAGAGAAAAAAAAAATTTGATATTTTTGTGTTTGATGTACTTAAAAGATCGTCAACAAGTCATCTATTTGACATTTTTAAAATTCAAACGCATGTTAGAATGATAGGGTCAAAATCTCAATTTTGTGTCTAATAAAGCTCCCATGTTAAGTTGATGAAGAAAGATAACTAGTGGAACTTTTATAAAATTTAGAGACTTAAATAAACCCAACTCATAGAATTAATTTCGTATCTTTGAACTCCAAATAGAATTGGACCCACCAAATTCAAACCTCATATATCAATTTGAAGAAAAGGTTTGAATTTTGTGACTGAAAAGAGAAGAGGGGCAGAGGAAAACGGATGTAAATTGCTCATGTGGGGGTGCTAATATTGTAATAATTGAGACAGAGGGGGGACATTTGGAAGGAGAAACAATAACAATAAATGTAGAAGGGCCATATGAGATTGACCATACAAGGGAGCAGGTTTGGCATTCTGAAAGATCTCTGCAATGAAGATAGATATATAATAATCACATAGGAAATGGGAAGAAAAACTTTTTTGGGGTTTTGGTATTGTTTTTATTTGCCATTGCAGATTTGCACCCATTTGGGTTTATAATTTGTGTGGGAGAGAGAGAGAGTGTGTCAGGAATGGGGAGTAGAGTTTGATGAACATAACTATTTGTAGCTAAGTTCCTAGGGTTTTGTTTATGTTCTTTCTCTTTCTCCCACTTTCAACACACAGAAAAAAAAAGAGGGTGTAATGTAATGGCAGAGTTTTAGCTCCATGTTTTGCTCCAATTGGCTTTGTATGGTCAAAATTTTTCTCCCTCTCTCTCTCTCTCTCTCTCTCTCTCTCTCTCGTCTTTTTTCTTGATAAGAAGCAATAAATGGGTGTTACTGCTATGGTAATATGCAGTGCCAACTTCCAATTTGGTGAAAGTGCCATCCCCTTCCCCCACTCCTTTTTTCTTTTTTCTTCTGTCAAAAACTTTTTTCCCCCTTCTTGTGCAAGTTTGAGATTTGAAATTTTTTCAATGCAGATATATCTGTGTTTGTATTGTTTATATGATTTTGAGGGGAGTGTGTACATTTTTATAATTTAAAAGTGCAATGCAAACATATAATAACGTTATAATTTAAAATTTCTTCCAAGAATGTTTGGTTGATTACAATTTAAAATTTCATGTATTTAAAGCATATATATATGCTTGAAATAACAGGTTATGTGGAGATATTGAGATCACAATTTTATGAAATGTTGATAGAAATATCAATTCTTGAGAAAATTATAAAATAACAAATTTATAACAAATAAAACATTTCACGTTTTTTAAATAAGTTGAACATTATTATTATAAATATTATCTCCATATTAGAGATACTATGTTGATATATATATATTTTGTTTATTATTATTATTTTTTTCTTTTGCAATACTGTAAAAATGTTGATTCACCTCTTAGGTTGACGTCGTTGAACCTATGAACATACGAAAATATTGGTAGAATTGATGACGTGTTTATGAAAATTTAATACATAGTGAATTGATAATAGATTATATTTACCTGAATAGATGATTTATTTTTATTTTTTTTATATTGATATGTCCAGGCTAATTTGCATGCATATCGACTAACAACATCCATGGTAAATTAATTTCCTCCCAAATTTTTGTAATGTATATTCTTTTTACTTAGACTTTTTATTTTTTATTTTTGAGAAGTTTGACCAGAACAATTGAAGAATAATTCGAGGAAATTTAGTTTCAAAATGAGAATCTCGAGAGATTTTGATTTATGAGTTAAAAACGACAATGATTTTTAACACACCTGCATGGTAATTAAAACAATTCTAATGAAAAAAAAAAAAAGAAAATGTATATATAATAATAATAATAATAAAAGGTATGAGAGGGAGAGAGATTGACATAGAATTAAGTAAAGTTGAATCCCAAGAAAACAAACTCTCACTATCCATCCTGTCCCCTTCCTATGAGGAAAACGACACATCGGTAGCATTTTCCATTAAACAGCCAATTATATTATACCCCCATTCCCCATTCTGTCCCTCCCCCCTCCCTCCTCCATTATAAATAACCCCTCTCCTCTTCTTCTTCTCCCATCATGGCACTGTTCAACCATCTCTCAAACCCTTTTTCCTCCCCTCATTTCTCCACCCTTCTCCCCCCTCCAATGGCCGACCCTCCCCCCATTTCCCCCGACCCACCACCTTTTTGATGCACCTCCCGGCGGTATCTCTCCTGAGCTTTTATTCGTTATTTTCTTTACTTTTTGTTTCGAATCCACGAAATTTGTTCAAATTTTTCTTGACCTTGCAAGTCCAGCTACCTGCTGTCGTGGGTCGAAGTCGCCTTTTGCACTCTTCCAAATGCCTCGGTGCAAGAGTTCAGGACTTCAATCGTGGATGATTTATTTTTCTCTCTATTCCTCCTGAGCTTATGTATCTATTTAGTATAGTTGTTTGAGTGTGTACAATAATTTCTCATTAGTTGGTTCTTTTTCTTTTTATAAATCTTTGTATTGTTCTCTCTCTATTGTTACAATTGTTATGTTTACAGATGTTTTGTGTTGGACGTAGATATAAGAGATAAAAGTTTAATAATACTCAGCAATTAAAACTATATTCTCGACAATAAAAGTAAAATAAAGAAGCCGCGAGTTGAACATGCGGTTCATTAATCTCGCGGTTTGGACAATAATTGAACAGAAATTCATGAAATTGTCCCGTACCTTCCTTTCTTAAACCTCCAATTAATGCAGGCATTAAGACAACACGACCATATCATGGGCCACCGCCCTTTTCAATAAATAAATGATTTAATAACTATTAGTCTATTGTTGTTAAAAAAAAAATTATTAGTCTATTACATAGTACATTTTAGTTTTTGGACGACATTAGTTTGTTTTAATTGAAAAATTGTATAGATGGTTAAAACTATGTATTTCTTAAAATATAATTTTATATTTTTCGACCAGACATATAGAGTGTCGATTACCCATATAAAAATATAAAAGCTTTTATTGGTACTCAAGTTTTACGTTCTTTTTTGCTTTAAAAAGTTTGTTTTGGTGACATATATTTTTTGTTTATTATTTCTTTTGACTTGATACTGAAATTGAATACACATGTACACGTGTGATTTTTGTTCCGTATTAATACCATAAAAGTAAAATGAGAATAAGTTTTATGCAAAGTTCATGATGGAAACAATGTACGAAAATAAAAGAACCAAACTAAAAAATTGCGTAAAATTAAAATTTAAAATCTAATTTGTAATTTATAAATGAATAAGGAGATATCAAATTCACTGGACTTATTGCAATAATGTTGGGCTCCCTGTCTCCGTTAAATTGGGCTCGGGGCCCATGACACTTCGTGGAGTCCAGTCCAGTTATAATAGAAGTGTTTTGGGCCCTTTAGCCGGCCTCATCAAACAAAACTATATAAATAATGACAAGTTTATACAAAACTGATCAACTTAAACGCCGTTTTATACAAATTATACATTCTGTCATCCTTGGTGGTAGAGATCGGCGTAGGAAAAATGCGGTTGCGACAATTTAATATATAGATATATAATTTTTAGGAAAGATGACAATTTAAATATAATTAATATCATTGTTATTAATAACTAATAAGTCACTTTAAAGGCAGCATAGCAGAAAAGAACCCGAATCTCCATCGTCCGACGTGGCGGCCTGGCAGTGAATGTAAGAAAAATAATTGAAATAAGACAGCCCACTGTCAAATAATCAATTAGTTACAAAACGACGTCGTACATGCCAATGATCACGTGGGGCGTTGTGACCCTCACAAACTCTATCGTGGGTCCCACTCTCCATCCTCCGTTTACCCTCTCTCTCTCTCTTCCGCGTTCCTCTCTCCTACTTCGGCAACTTTCAGATACTCAGGTTCTCAGACGCAGAAAGGTAGATGGACGAGGGATCAACCGGAGCCTTAGTTCCGGCGGTGAAGCCGGAGCCAGTTTCATCTTCGATTTCAGCGCCGTCGATTCCCGATTGCTCACTCGCCGAGCTCGATACCGCCGCGGAGGTTCCATCTCAGCTGGATAAGGACTTCCTCTGCCCGATTTGCATGCAGATCATTAGGGATGCATTCCTCACTGCCTGCGGCCACAGTTTCTGCTATATGTGCATCATCACGCATCTCCGTAACAAGAGCGATTGCCCTTGCTGTGCTCTCCACCTCACTTCCGATCAGCTCTTTCCTAACTTCTTGCTTGATAAGGTTTGTTTTCTGTTATTCAGTTATTATTTAGCATTTTATATTCTACTTGTTACGATTGATGGCTTAATACTGTATAATAGGTTACTTAATTTTCATACTTACTTTCGGTCTTGAGGCAATTCCGAAATTACTTGCGGAAACTATAGAGAAATATGTCTTAGCAAGGTCTAAGATAGGAGAATTTTCGATCACAATAGTTATCTTCTGCTGTTTCTGTGCCTTGTTTTTTGTGTGCTTATGCAATCATTTACTGGATGATGAACAAGATTACTAGCTGTATTCACCTCTTCCCTTCGAATTCTTCGGTAATTTTAGTTCTACAATTCTTACTTCGTCTTGTTTTTTGAATGGTTCGGCTATTACCATTACCATGTCTCTTAAGCCTTTTTTAAAATTATATTTAAACTTCAGAACGGCTGAGTTTAGGATTCCAGTTAAGTGTATTATATCTCAGAAAGTAAGGTAACAAAGTGACTGCTGATGTTCGGGTAGTGTTTCATTGGCCTAGAAGAAAATTTTGTTCTCTTTATGGAATTAGATGTTTTACACGACATTAGGCGATTTAAACGTTTGAAATACGAAGCTCTCATATATAGTCTTTACTAAGAATGACCATTGAACAAAACTAAGAAGTGAGCTTGCCATCATTAATGCTGATTGCTATTGAAAGTTCAGTGAAAATAATAGATTTCTAATTTTATTTCTTCTTTGGCGATAATTCGAACATTACATTCACATCCAACATTATCTTCCTTTTTTTTTTTTTATAAGAAACTGCACTTTCATTGCGATAAATGAATAAAGACTCCAAAAAGAGGGCATACAAAAAAAACAGCCTAGCAAAAGGAAACCCCTAAAGAAACGGGCTCCAATCCAAAAGAATGACTCCTAACTGATAATTATAAAAAGCCTACAAAATCTCTCCACTCCCCTAAAAATTCTATTGTTTCTCTCCTGCCAAATACCCCATAGAGTAGCCAGAAAACACGCTTGCCAAAGAAAACGTCCTTTGTATCGAAACGGGGGGAATAACAATACTTCCTCCATCATCGCCCTACAATCTCTAGAACTGTCCCAAACAATCCCAAAACATCTAAAGAAACGAAGCCATAACTCCTGCGCGAACTGACAAGACCACAACAAATGATCAAAGCACTGCGGACCCAAATAAAGGGAGGACATCCTCTGGGTCCGATCCAAGGTATTAACTTTTCCAAGTAAGACTTGCCACCCAAAGAACTTAATCTCCTTTGGAATTTTAATCTTCCAAAGCGAGGTGAACCAAGGGGTCAACAGGGACAGAGAAGAAAAAGAGGACGACGAGGAGTTCAGGACATGGAAAAAGGAGCTACAAGAAAAACCTTTCGAAGGATTGGGGGTCCACACCCTCATATCTTCCCTCCCAACAAATAAGGAAACTCTAGACAGCTGATCCAGTAAATCGGAAACCTCTGACGATTTCCGATCAGTCAAGGAACGGGTGAGCCCCAAAGAGATGGACAAACCCTCTTCTCCAGAACTTAAGACCTCGGCCACTGAAAGGAGTTTCTTATCAGATAGAAAGTAGATCCGAGGGAAAGCAAGACACAAGGGTTTATCGCCTATCCAAGTATCATCCCAGAAGTACGTATTAAGACCTTCCCCCACAGAGACACGTAAAGAATGAGAGAAAACAGGGAAACCCAAAGCAATAGCCTTCCAGGGATTGTAGTTGCTTACTCTAGCCCCACCTGCCTGTACCCAATCAAGCCCATACTTACTCACTATAATCTTTCGCCACAAGGCATTAGGTTCGTGGAAGAACTGCCATAACCATTTAGCCAGTAAAGCCTCGTTTCTAATCCTCAAGTTCCTAATGCCTAGACCTCCCTCCTCCAGAGGCTTAGACACCTCTTTCCAGTTAACAAGATGAGCCTCACCCCTCTCCTCCACACCTTCCCAAAGAAAATCCCTCATTAATTTCTCTAGCCCTTCACTCACAGTCACTGGGATTCTGAAGAGGGACAAAAAGTAGTTCGGAATGCCTCTGAGAACAGATTGAATTAAAGTGAGTCTCCCTCCTTTAGAGAAAAAAACCTTCTTCCAACTAGAGAGGCGCTTCTAAAATTTTTCCAGTACCGGCACCCAAAAGATAGCAGACTTTGGATTGTGACCTAACGGAAGACCAATATAAGAGGTCGGAAACTTACCAACTTCACACTCTACGAGAGTCGCCCACTCACTGATCTTGACGTCCTCACAATTAATTCCCAATAACGAACTCTTGCTCCTATTAATCTTCAAACCCGAAATGGATTCGAAGAAACCGAGAAGGCAATTAAGGTTTTTAAACGCATTAGGATTGCCGGAACAGCATTATCTTCTTGTTATACAGAGAAGTTCCCTGTTATTTATAATTATCAGTTTTTGATGTGCATGTTTTCTATATTAGTATTCTCACTTAATTTTCATTGATGATGCAAGCATTGAATTATATAAATATTCGTAGCACTGAACTAAAATGTTAGAATTTTATGAAGCAAGTATATAGATGCTGACCTCATTCTACTACTTTTGGGGCTAAAGTAGAATTGAAATCTCTGCAGTCATTTTCTTTTTATTCTTCGTATTGATATGATTTATGTTGTATGAATCACACTACTTTTTCCTAATCAAAATGGCAATTACTTTTATTAGTAGTAGGATATTATTTTATCAGATACATATGCTTAGTTCTGTCTATTTTTTTTACCGTAACTGAAAGTTTGGACTTTGGTCTAGTAATCTAATGTCTACGCATTAGTGAACAAATATGAACATCTTTATCTTGAAATTATTTATTTGGAAATGCAGCTTATCATGATACGGTTTCTCTGTACCACATTGTAGCTACTGAAGAAGACTTCTGCTCATCAAATAGCACAAACTGCATCCCCAATTGAACTTTTTCGCCGTACTTTACAAGAGGTTAGTCATCAAGGGCCATTGCATCTCATTTGCATTTACATTAGTCCTAAATAACAAATATTAAATACCCTAACACCTATGGTCTCGATTTAGGCTAGTAAATTCATTTACTCCTTTGTTTGCTTATATTAAGAAAATGTATCTGAATTGTTTGGTTTCTGTGATAGAAGTTGTATTTAGGTTTATGAACTTCGTTCATTTCAAATTATTCATCATAGAACAATGGTAAATATTATAATAATTTTATTTTCTTGCTAGGGCTGTGATGTGTCAATTAAGGAGTTAGACTCCCTCTTGGCAATGCTTTCTGAGAAGAAGAGAAAGATGGAACAAGAAGAATCTGAGAGAAACATGAAAATATTAACAGACTTCTTACATTGCCTAAGGAAGCAAAAAGTTAACGAGCTCAATGAGGTACTTTTTTCCCTCGAGTCCAGTAACATCTTTTGCATTTTGTCAGTGCAGACTATGCTTTCTGAAATTTCCTATTGCATTTCAAATATTTAACTCTTCTTTGTTTGTGCACCTTTAAATTTCAGCAGGCATTAATGTACTTTGGATATCTTGATCATATATATGTGATTAGTTGTAGTTGCGGTATGATTATAATAGCCCTCCAGTAATCCACACTTATGTGAGAGGTGCGGAAAGGGAATTTTGGGTGGGTTAGAGTTAGAAGAGAGAGAATTTTCTTTTTGAAGTGACAAGCAGGAGGGCATGTGGAAAGCTTTTAGAAGGGAGTTTAATAGAATGGTCATGGTCATGGTCATGGTCATGGATACCTACGTATACTTATAACCTGTACTTGTGGAAAAATTTCTTGTTAATTGGTTTTGGTTTGTTTAGCTCTGTATCTATGGGATTTTCTGCTCTGTATCTATGGGATTTTCTGCTCTGTATCTATGGGATTTTCTATCTAACTTATTCTCCCTATTTATATTTTGATAGGTGCAAACGGATCTTCGGTTCCTCAAGGAGGACATAAGTGCAGTGGAGAGACATAGGATGGAACTGTTTTGCGCAAGGGACAGATACTCCATGAAGGTATGTATGGCTGGTGATGATATGAATGCAAGAAAACCTTGGTCATCATTAGCGGATAAGAGAAGTGATGGGCCTACCTCTACTTCTCTGAACACCTGGGGTGTTGTGTCTGCTGGGAATTTTCAAAATAAGAAAGCAGATTCAAGGAGTCAAGTTAGCTCTTATGGACTCTACAAAAAGGATGCATTGAATGGGCCAGAACCACATCTGAATCCTACCGGTCTATCTGTTGCAAGGAAAAAACGTGTCCATGCACAGGTCTAGTTTGACAATGTTTCATTTTTCAATGTTTACCTCTAAGTCTGTCCATTCTTTCCACATAGTTATTTATATTTCTCAATGTTTAATGTTAGTGGTTAGAATAAATTGGGTTTGAATAAGAAGTTTATAACCTGTATATATACCTTATTCTTCAATCTTCAGTCTCCAGAAGAAAAAGATTTATATAATCTCGATATTTCTAGTAGCTGGTAAGACGCAAGGGCTAATGGATTTTGTTGATTTGAAGGAAATTGGCTTCTCTTAGACGTGGGGTTGAGTTGAGAGGGATTCCAAGTTTGCCTTCTTTTTGGTAACTGGTTGAAAGAATTCAAAGGAATCTCTAACAGTAGAAAGCTGCTCAACATTCGAGAGGGGAAAAACTCACTTTTGCTACGACATGGTCTCTCAAAAGACACCTGCTTACTTCATTTCATGTCTTTCTTCAAAATTCCTTTTACAACAGCTGATGAGATTTAAAAGGTGTTCAGAAATTTCTTTTGGGAAGACAGTACTAGAGGTAAGGGAAGCATCTTGTTAATAACAAAATTCCTTCTCCCCCTACTATTAAATTGGGCCTGGAAGTCGACAGTTTGAAGGAGAATAATAAGGCATTGGTCTCAAAATGACCATGGAGGTTTCTGAGGGAGACTAATTCTCTTTGGCACCAGTCAATTACTAGCTAATTGCTAGCAAATGTGGTCTTTCTCCTGGGGGTTGGACAAGCTCAAGAAGTCCTTGGAATTTTGTTAGAAAGAATCCAAATCTTAATGATTCCTTATCACGCTTCAGACTAGGAGATGGGAAGACAGTTAGGTCCTGGGAGGACCTTTGGCTGTATGGAAACCCTCTTGCCATATAGCCAAGGCTGTATACTATCTACTGTTCTAAAAGCCGTTTGGTCGGAGATTGCTGCAATACGGGCAGGAACATATAGAGTCTGGCTTTTAGAAGAAGTTTAATAGAGATGGAAGTTTCTGATATGGTTGGTTTACTCGGAAAATTTGAAGAAACCTTTCCCACGAACGG